GTAGTAGTACTAGTAGTAGTACTCAGAACAGTATCAGTAATTGTAAGAACAGCGATGATACCAATAATTGCCGAAGTAGTTATAATCACAATACGACGTGCAGGAGGGTAGGTTTGCCCACACATTCGTTCGCAAGAGGGATTTGTATGCTTTTTCATGCAAGTTCCCGTCGCGGCCTTCAGTTGAAAACACAAGGCTCGCAGGAAGGGTTCTCAAAGGATTCCAATGTATTTGCAGAGGAAGTCTGAAAAACAACAAATGTTTTTGCACGGACACATTTTACAACCTTGCAACGCTAAAACCGTTCTGAGGGGCATAGCAGATGTCGCACAAGAAAACCTCCACATTACAAACAAACACATCACAAGTTTGACGCGCTAACTGGTGGAGCTCCCTGAATGTGCCGAACCCCAAAACTACGCCCCTGCGCAGTCCAAACGACGCTTGCCCAGCTTCTACCCCATGTGGCGCGAGCAAACCAGCCCTTCTCCCCCCAATAATAGTTATAATTGTACTACTTAAAATATTGATCATGATGATGATAATGATGATACTGATAATAGGAACAGTCATAACATGCAATAAGTAAAAAACGTAAGAATAGTACTCATAGCAGCCATAGCAAAGGTACTAATGATGATACCTGTGCGATTGCTGATAACCGTAGTTAAAACAGCAATTAAACAAGCATAAGCCATAATTTGAATAACTCCAAAAGAAAAATCGTTACAGTAGTAATGCCAAGAATAATGATAACGTTCATCTAGTCCCAATGGTGTCCGGCGCATCTACCGATTATTCTTAGCATCTTTGTCACTATTGCTACTACTCGTACTAGTAGTACTGTTACTACTATTGCTACTGCCAAGACTAATACTACTATTCATACCTTGCGGTTCGTACTACTATTTACTAAATTGGAGCTGCGTGGCAACGCGAACACAGAGCTCAATAACTCTCAGGTCGTTTCCTGCGTCATCATGCGCTGCTCGCCGGCGCCGCGCAGCAGCGTGACTTGCGAAGGAAAGCGAGCCTTGAGTAGAAGCAGTAGGGCCATCGTCTTGTAGGCATCTGTGCCTGCATCCAGAATCAAGGCATGATGGCGTGGCAGGGGAGTTTGGGCCTAGGGCCTAGAGTCCAAGCTTCAACCTGTTCTCGGAGGGAAGGCCCGCCTGAATGAGTGTAGTCACCCAAGAAGAGATAGCTGGTTTCAGGTATGGGCCCGCACACCTTGAATATCGTGAGCAAGTCATGGATACTACCTCCACGGAGGGATCCCACAACCACCACAGGCGCAGCAACTGCCACGATGTTCTCCTCTTGCCGAAGATGCCTTCAGCAGCTCTCAGTCTTGGGAGGACTTGGGCGAAAGGAGTTGTTTGTTCATGGGTCTCGGAGAACTGCACCAAGCGAATCCCTAAGTGTTTATCTCTCCTTCGCTCTCTCTCGCGCTCTCTCTCTCTCTCTCTCTTTTCGAAATCTTTGCCTCGCAGCAGCAGCGCAAGCTTGCTTGCATTCCTCCGGGGTCAAACTGCCACCTGCAAAGAGCTTTGCCAGCAACTGGCTCTGGGCTTCCATTTCCAGGACCCGCTCTCGCCAGGTCAGGCACATCTTCTTTCCACCGATGCAGCCCTTGCTGAGATCCAGCTGCCTAGCCGAGCGCACCTACAGCAAGCAGGACACCACCCGGTCACCAGTCTCGCACTGGCCACTCAAGCCCCTGCAACACTAAACCCTAAACCCTAAACCCTAAACCCATTTTCATCTTCTGCAGCCGAGGAGCTGCAAGGCAGGCAGAGCGACTCCACTGCGGTAGCAGCATTGCCTTGGCAGCCCAGTAACCATACGAGCCGGGCACCATTTTTTTTTGGTCGGTTCCTGCGAATAAGGGAACTCAGAACCCCCCCCCCCCCCCCGAAACCCTAAACCCTAAACCCTAAACCCTAAACCCTAAACCCTAAACCCTAAACCCTAAACCCTAAACCCTAAACTCAAAACAAGTAAAGTGTACCACTGGGCTACCAAGTTGCGCCTCTTGGAGACAGCAGCTCTGCAGTGGTCACCAGCGCGACGCCCTGCAACAAGGGGCCTGCCGTCAGACTGTCGTGGGTTCCCCTAGGTTTAGGGTTTAGGGTTTGGGGTTTAGGGTTTAGGCCTCCTATTTTCCTAGGTTCCCCCCAGAAGTAAGGCGATTTAGGGATGAGCAAGCCTATTAATAAAGGTTGTTTAAGGGAGAAACCAGGGGGGGTGTTTTAGAGGGGTTTTGTAGGGAAACCCATGAAACTGTCATCGATTGCAGCGACGGGCACATGCAAAAGCCACGCGAAGGTACATGAACTACAAGGAGGGGGCCCCCTTACTATACGAACTACAGCTAAGGGACTGAACAATTCTAACTCAGGATCCCCATAATCCAATTTAAGGTAAGGCTCTTAAACCCTAAACCCTAAACCCTAAACCCTAAACCCTAAACCCTAAACCCTAAACCCTAAACCCTAAACCCTAAACCCTAAACCCTAAACCCTAAACCCCAAACCAGGGCGGGGCTCCTCCTGGTAGCACTGCTCTGACCTGCTTGGGAAAGTTTTTTTGGGAAGCACTCCCCTGGACCAGCCTTCGACACGACCTTGAGATTCCGTAGCCATCGCCGCAGGATCTAAGAGGATCTCAGGGATGACCGTTTCAGCAGACACGGTGGGTCTCGGGTTTCGGGATGGGGTTTCGGGTTTAGGGTTTTAGGGCTTGGGAGGGCTTAGGGCTTAGGGCTTAGGGCTTAGGGCTGTGTTTGGAAAGCTTGGCAGCGGTGGAGCAAATTGAGCAAACAAGCGTTCTGGGCATACTCTGTTTCTGGCAAATTCATGACCTCGTGACTGACTCATGATGCACCAGAAGCATAACTCCAGCAGGACACATCCTTCTATCGTGACTTCAGCTCAGGATGGCCCCAAAACACTCTGAAAAATATTCCAGAATATGACCCTCTTAAACCCAACAAGGGAAAATAGAAAATGTCCCAAGGGCCTACCCAGCAGCTGTTCTCAAAAGCTCGGCTTTTCGCCACTGTCAATTTCTCTCAGAACTTCGACATGTGCATACCGGCAAGCGGGGTGCACAAGATGAGCTCTAGACTATCGCATTTTGTTTCGAAGCACCCTCCTCGGACACCGAAGCGCTGTCACAACTGAAGACAAGCTAATCGAATGAATGCTGATATTTGCACTTCATGGTGCCCGAAGGATGCCAATGTACACTAGACCTCCTCAGCACTCCTAGCTTTGGCCGCAGCTCAGAAGGGCAAGCGGCGCGGATGAAAGATGGTCCCACAGTAGGGGATGGGTCCGTCAGGGCCGAGGGTGATGGCGCGCACGAGAGAAGCGATGACAATCAGCGCCGTGATGTTCTTGGCCGACATCTTGGCCTTGTCGTACCATGCGGGCTGGTGCTCCTCCTGCATGTCAGCGAGGATGATGGCGAGGAGGAATCCTGCCAGCATTCCAGCAAAGTGTCCTACGAAGTCGACGTTGGGAGAGATGGTGGACATCATGATGCAGCTTGTGACCATGAAGGCGAACCATAAGAACACCCTGGAGCGGCTGTCACCTAGAAGATCCCAGGTCAGCAAGACCTCTGCTGCCCAAACTCCAAGAAGGCCGAACCCGCTGGTGGATGCTCCCACCGCCAGCTTCATGGGATCGACCGCTACGGAGATCAGGTTGCCAAGGAAGCCGCAGAACATGTAGAGGAGGCAGAACTTCCGGCGCCCGAACTGCTTCTCCATCCCGAAGCCGATGCGCATCTGGAAGAAGAGGTTGAAGAAGATGTGCAGCGCATTTGCATGCAGCATCATGGGAAGCATCAGCCGCCACACAGCTCCCTGTGCAATGGCCGGTCCCCAGGAGGCGCCCAGGAGGTACAGGGAGCAGAGCTTTGGGGACCCGTAGGCACTTCCAAGCAACAGCGAGCCGATGTACTCTGTGATCTGGAGCATGGAAACCCGCCAGATGAAGGTATCCTTGGTTGCTCTGTAACTTTTAGCTCCCTTAATATGGCTAAACCCTAAACCCTAAACCCTAAACCCTAAACCCTAAACTTATAAAGTGAATAAAGTTGTAGTAAAGTCCCACCTAGTATCGGTGTTGAAGTTCGGCAGCAGGGCATCTAAGAGGCTGAACTGCGCTGGCGGCCCGGGCGGTGATTGGGGCCGCTCGGGAAGGAGGGCATTTGTCCCCTGATTCCCCTGCATGGCGGCTGCCAGGGGGGGCGCCGGTGGTGTGAGGGAGGGAGGCGGCGGCGTTGGGACCATCATCGCCACCTTGAGCAGCGCGCCTGGGGCCAAGGGCGCCAAGGCCGTGCTCGCCGCGGCCGCGCCCAGGCCGGCGGTCAGCCCCAAGGCGAGGGCGGCATCCTCAAAGCTGTACTTGTAGGAGGGCTTCTCCGTGGAGCGGCATGAGATGGTGCTGCACTGCAGGAACCCGCCTCGGAGCAAGCAAGATGCTTAAAATGATCTCTAGCAGACTCTAGCAAGTCGAGCAAACTGCAAGCAAGCCGAGTCTCTTCTCTTGGCAGCACTGGTGACGCGGGACTTCGGCAAGCACGGTACGAAGATGAAGTGTTCCCAAGCCTCCTTTGAACGGCACATGGCTGGAGGCTGCTTGAGCTAGGCCTGTTTGCAACTCCGACAGTTCCGACAAGCAAACTTTACATTCGCCGGGGGTAACGTGCGCTTGCTTCCTCGACCTGAGAGACTGAGAGACAAAGGATGAGATTCACCGCCTGTGGCAGCCGACCTAAGTCCAGGCCTTAGACGTGTCTGCTAGCGCAAATGTTGCCTGCTCTTGCTTTGAACCGAACTCCTCACGCCGGCATGCTAGCTTGGCACCGGCTGTGAGAGCATGCAGGGTACAGTGAAAGTGCAAGCTCAATGCCTACCGACGAAAAGGCAGCCCCACTACTGCAGTCTGCATCTCTCAAAAACGACGACCCAAAATCGCTTCCGCTGCCTCTGCAGTCGAAGTGCCCAGCACAGACCTCTTCAACAGACAAGCTGAGCACGCCGAGGGACATCTAGAAGCACTGACCAAAGGCATGTCACTGACAGCAAAAAAGACCTGCAAAGTGCGTCGAAGCAGTTCCGAATTCTCGCATGGGTCAGATGTGCACGCAGGCATGCCCAATCATGCCCATGCCCAAAGTGTCTGCTCTTAACCGTGTGTACATGGACAGGGCCGCCTGGTCCCTTGGGTGACATTCAGGAAACTACACAAGTCATTGACGTACCTGCAAAAGTGTCACGTGAATACATGAACCCTAACCCTAGACCCTAGACCCTAGACCCTAAACCCTAAACCCTAAACCCTAAACCCTAAACCTTAAGCCCCACTGACTCTTAGCCCTACACAGCCTAGGCCTTGCCTGCTGAAGTCCTCGCCAAATCCTGGGATGAACACCTCCACATCCCATTGCAGGGTGGAACAGTCGGGTTTAGGGTTTAGGCCTTAGGGCTTAGGGTTTAGGGTGCAAGATGCACAAGAAAAGGATTCTTGACTTGTCTACTGGAGTTCCTATCAGTTTTATTCAGATTCCTATTCGTTCTGCCCGGATTCCTGTTGCTTGTTCATAGGACTCCTACTTGTTTTCATACGAGTAGGATTCCGATCAAGGTCTTCGTAGAAATAATTGAAATGTTGACTGGATAAGAATAGGGATCAACCGCAATCCTTATTCGAACGACAAGAACAACAACAAGAAGACAAAGCTGCAATAATCACATGGCAATAACCATGTCAGAATGGTGCGAATCAAAGCTGTATGCACAGGACGCTACCTTTTGCATCGCGCGTTGTTTTTGTTGGTTTTGGGCATACGTTTCCGATTTTGTTTGGGCATTCAGGCTCTGTGCGATTTTGCTGATTTTCAAGCCAGTTCGTCGCGCAGCGTTTGCCGCCCCTCACACGAGCACGTGGTTGCTTGCATGATGTCGGTGCGTGCGCTGAAAAGGCTGCAACTTACGATTTTTCAGGCAGTCAACAGTTCACCCAAGCCAACCTTGGAAACTCAGGAAATTCCTGGCCTTCAAGTCCGGGAAACATGGGAACTTTCAAGGCACCTACGGGCTTCGGACTATCTTTTTCTCAGTCCGCGCCCACATGGGAATGCTTCCAGCACGCAACAGCAGGCACACGAACTCACCCAGAGCTAGCCACTGCAGCATCTAAGCTACAGCAAAACAGTCAGAGATGGCTGGTTTTGAGGGGAAAAGGGACTTCAGGAACGTGCTGATGTATGGTTTCGGGTTATGAGTTGAGGGATCCACAATTGCCTCACTTACGTAACCACCCCCCACCCCCAGCTACTACTCATAATGTCAATAACAAAGCTCACTTCACTAGTTGCTGCAGCAGCAGCAGCAGCAGCAGCAGCAGCAGCAGCAGCAGCAGCAGCAGCAGCAGCAGCAGCAGCAGCAGCAGCAGCAGCAGCAGCAGCAGCAGCAGCAGCAGCAGCAGACAGCAGCAGACAGCAGCAGACAGCAGCAGACAGCAGCAGACAGCCTGAATGGTGGGCCTGAAGCGCCGTCTTCTGTGGACGATAACTCGGTTTGGTGTTCGGACCTAACACCTTCACCCCACAATCCTCCAAACCCCATGAGTTTAGGGCTTAGGGTTTAGGGGTTCAGAGTTATATCGCTCCCACTCTCCGGGTCAGCATTGACAGGGCCTGCCTCGATGCAATCCCAGGTCATCTGCCTCAAGCACATTCGGAATTCATGCCTACAGCCCCCAAGTTTTCAGGGTTTAGGGTTCAGGGTTTAGGGTTCAGGGTTTAGGGTTTAGGGTTCAGGGTTTAGGGTTCAGGGTTTAGGGTTTAGGGTTCAGGGTTTAGGCTTCTTTTTCTTCCTGCAGGGTTACTTATACAAGCCGCCTTTAGGGGGGGGTGTACCAGGTGGTAGGGGTCTATGAGGCCTAAGCTACGAGAGACTTTGACATGCCCGTTGTCGCAGAACGCATTGAGAAGGCGGCCACCACACCGGCCGAGAGGCCGTGTCGTTTGGCTGCGCCGCCTTGCCACAGCTTAGGGTTTAGGGTCTATAGGGTATAGGGTAGGGTTTAGGGTTTAGGGTTTAGGGTTTAGGGTTTAGGGTTTAGGGTTTAGGGTTTAGGGTTTAGGGTTTAGGGTTTAGGGTTTAGGGTTTAGGGTTTAGGGTTTAGGGTTTAGGGTTTAGGGTTTAGGGTTTAGGGTTAGGTTTAGGGTTTAGGGTTTAGGGTTTAGGGTTTAGGGTTTAGGGTTTAGGGTTTAGGGTTTAGGGTTTAGGGTTTAGGGTTTAGGGTTTAGGGTTTAGGGTTTAGGGTTTAGGGTTTAGGGTTTAGCGTTGAGGGTTTAGTGTTTAGTGTTTAGGATGAAAAAAATCGAGGGGCTGGCGCTTAATCGTCCATGGCTGTGGGTTCCAGAGAGCCAAAACAATGTGCGAAGTGTTGACTTGTGAGATTTCGCAAAGCAATGCCAAGAAACCCTGCCACTTTTTTTACTCCAACCCATCCAATCCCCAAAATCACCGGGGCAACTCTTTGTGCGATCGCACGCCTTAGGCGAGACGAAGCCCAGAACATTCGTGCTGACCTCAGCACCGGTTCGTTCTTTGCATACAAAGCTTTCCTGCCTGCATACCGTCTATCGCTGCTACCACGACTCATCTTAAGGCACCTGCAAGGACGCCCAGGAGGTTCTTCAGGGTCTCAGTGGACACTTCCTGCAGCCGTACGGGGCTGTAGAAAACCTTGAGACATACCTGCGCCTGTGTGAAACAGTGTGCTTCTTGGCGCACTGCAACATGGCCAAATACAGCTCTTAGACTAGCGAAGGATCGCTGTAGCTGTGCATGCTTTGCAGAGCGCTGCATCCCCCGTCGCTTCGAAAACTGAAAAGAGCTGACTGCTTCAACACCGAATGAAACTACCCTTGTACGGGCAAGAACCCTTAAACCCTAAACCCTAAACGCTCAACCCTAAACCCGCCTCCAACTCTGCATCGCGGTCGTCGGAACCACGCTTTATAAACTGAAGCATCAGTCTCAGAACCATCAGCCTCGGACTTCAGAAAACAGTTTAGGGTTTAGGGTTTAGGGGTAAGGGCTCACCAACTATAGATCAGGGACTTAGTGCCGAAGTTAGGATCCTTCTAACCCAATTTAGGGCTCTTAGAACTCTACTTCTACCTAGGGAGGCCCCTCCCTGCATCAGTAAGCATCAGACAATTGGCGCAGCTCTTGTTTTGCAATCCATACAAAAGCCCTATGTGGGGGTTTCCCAAAATGAATAGGGGTACTCCTGTTCTACCCCAAATAGAATAGAATTTTCCTTAAAGGGACTCCCAAAAGGGTACCCCATTTTCGGAAACCCCCATGTCAAGACAATCAGTGAATGGCTGCATGAGGCCCATGCCACAGCTGCCCGAAGCTTTCGTGCCTGAAGGGCCCAGGCATCCTTCTTACCGGTGGGTCCTCACCTCGCCTACGCCCCGAGCCCTAAGCCCTAAAGCCCTAAAGCCCTAAAGCCCAAAAGCCCAAAAGCCCAAAAGCCCAAAAGCCCAAAAGCCCAAAAGCCCAAAAGCCCAAAAGCCCTAAAGCCCAAAAGCCCAAAGCCCTAAAGCCCAAAAGCCCTCTAAAGCCCTAAAGCCCTAAAGCCCTAAAGCCCTAAAGCCCTATGCCCTAAGCCCTAAGCTTAACGCGGTTGTTCTGCAAGTCATGCCTGGCCTGCAAAGTTCCCTGTGGAGGGCACGCGCCGTGATCAGATGACTGGGAACATGCTGCTCTGGGGGATCCGTTTGGGGAACCTTGAACTTGTATTATTTTTACATGTCCTTACATACATACACATAAACATACATATGCATAATATATATATATGTATATAATATGTATATATAATATGTATAATATGGTTTAGGGTCTTGCGGCCTCTGTAGCGTCTGCAGATTCTGGAGGAAGAACTTGGACACAAGCGAGACGGCCTCTCGGACAACCTCGGGGGGGGGGGGGGGAGTTTAACCGGGCGATTTCGAGGGTTTAGGGTTTAGGCTTTAGGGTTTCGGGGGCGCTCCATTGAACATGAAGGGTGACGTAGCACATGGCTTCCTCACAAGCCCATGACTCGGGCAAACATGCCTCATACCCAAAGCTCGACCACCTCGAAGCCCGAACTGACCATGGAGGGAGGCTGCCCCGGTGGGAATAACGCAGCTAGGACAGCCATTCGGAACTTAGGGTTTAGGGTTTAGGGTTTAGGGTTTAGGGTTTAGGGTTGAAAGATAGATCACGCAATGCAGGATCCCAGATACTTTTTCTGCCTCTTCCCGAGGGCCGGGCTGTCAAGGGTGCCCCTGATGTAACAGGACCCGTCAGAACAGACACCTCAGCGGCTCTGCTTCAAGGCATCAGGTGCTTATGGCTTAATTAAGGTGAGGAATCGTGCCGGGTGCTCTTTGCAACAGGTCTGGTGCATGCGCAGAAGCAGGCCGCTCGCGAAGCGAACATGCACAAGCCGCACCGTCATCTGTTCTTTGCTTGTATTACAGGCCACTGCGCCTGGCATCAGCTGCGGTCGGGGCTAAGGTCAAAAGGGTTTGGAGCAAGGGCGTCTGAGCAAACTGGACCGGAGATCTCTGTTCTGGGCATCTGGCGAGCTTTTCCAGCACGGACCTGTCGATGCCACGGCTGAAATTGTACCCATGCTGAGGGTTTACGAGAATAAGGGACCCCCTAAAATAGAACGCCCCAAATAGCAGGATCCCCTTAAAAGGAGCACCCAGTAAGGTAGTTACCCGTATTATGGTGCACGCCCTGCACGCAACCTGGTAATGCCTAAGATTCTCGTCAGTCTGCGCTTGCCCCCTAAACCGTAAACCGTAAACCGCCCTAAACCCCAAACCCAAAGCCCTAACTGTGCAGCGCAACCTTGCAGCGACACGAATAAAAAGGGGCGTGGCAAACCTGCACGTATCCCACCCGGGTTGCAATGGGACGCTACCGAAACTACGGAAACTACGCATCCTGCTATGGCCCCCAAAACCCTAAGCCCTAAAAGCCCTAAAAGCCCTGCGAAAAACCGCGTAGCCTCATCTCCTCATCTCCTGTTTTTGAAACCTTGGGACCCTAAACCCTGAGCGCTGAACCCTAAGCCCAAAACCGCCAACCCTGAACTCTGAATCCTACTCCCAAAACCCTAAACCCTCATCCCCCTCAACCCTAAACCCTGAAGCCTCAACCTCAAGCCCGAAACCCTAAACCCTACACCCTAAACCCCTAAGCCCAACCCGTTTTGTGGCCCCAACCCAGACCCTGCCTCGCCCAGAAAGGCCCATGGTTGCCGGCAGCTAGGAGCGACCTTACCCGCAGGAGGAGCCCAGTTGTGGAAGATGCCAAAGTTGAGTTTAGGGTTTAGGGTTTAGGGTTTAGGGTTTAGGGTTTAGGGTTTAGGGTTTAGGGTTTAGGGTTTAGGGTTTAGGGTTTAGGGTTTAGGGTTTAGGGTTTAGGTTTAGGGTTTGGGGTTTGGGGTTTGGGGTTTGGGGTTTGGGGTTTGGGGTTTGGGGTTTGGGGTTTGGGGTTTGGGGTTTGGGGTTCAGCCAGGGTTTGGGGTCTAGGGTTTGGGGTTCAGGGTTTGGGGTTTCGGGTTGGATTTCGGGTTTGGGTTTTGGAATTATAGTGGTTTGGGGCTTTATAAAAAAGACCTCAAAGTAGTCTTTGGCCTGTTCCTTTGTTGCGGTGTCTCGCGCCTCTTGGGTATACATGTCGCGAGCTCAGTTCACCAAGGCCTTTACCCCAAAACCCTAAACCCTAAACCCTAAACCCGAAACCGGAAACCGGTGAGGGTCTAAGGGTTGCAGGCTTCCGGTCGTACAGTTTCGGGTTTTCAGGGGCTCTTAGTGGCCCGCGCGAAGACTGGTCAACAGCCCTTCAGATCAGGAGCATGTGGGCCTCTGGCGGAACACGGGCGTGCAGAAGCGACTGCTTCCTTGGCCCAGGCCATATTCAAGGGGTCTAGGGCTTAGGGTTTAGGGTTTCGGGTTTAGTATCTAGGGCTTGAAAGAGCAGGCACACAACAAAACAGGTGGCAAATGTTCCAGTCAGGAGTCAAAAGCGGCAGTACCTGGAGGTCCGGTTCTTCGGTGTTGGGCCGGCCGACGGCGGGCCTGCGCGCAAGGATTGGTCATGGCCCCCGCACAGATTTAACCGGCAAAGCATAAAGTATCTTACAGGATGAGGCCTCCCAAAACCTCCTAAATCTCCCCACATGTAGAAGCCGTTTTTATCGGAACACCCCAACAAAAACACATGAACCCTAAACGCCCTAAACCCTACACTCCAGTAGGTACCCCAATTTCGGGAAAGCGCCCCAGGGGGGTGGCCCTGATGTCATTGGGGCAGGAGGGCGACTCTGCGAGGTTTTGGGCAGGCATGGGCATGGCTCTAGCAAGTTTAGGGTTAGGGGTTTAGGGTTTAGGGTTCAAGAGTTAGGGTTCAGGGTTTAGGGACCCTAAGCCAAAAAAACGTACATGCACTTAAGCCCCTAGAAACCTCTCAAGCCCTCCAAAAGCCCCTCAAAAAACAACCAACTGCCGGCTGAGTCCCGCACCCAACAAAGTTTACCATGGCAACGGCGACCCGGGACCTGGCGAGGGTTTAGGGTGTAGGGTTTAGGGTTTAGGGTTTAGAGTCTAGAGGTGTCTTCTCTAAAGGAGAGCTTTAGGGCAAGGCTTGCTCGGGATGATTTGGGCTTATCAAAGCTTCTTCGGATCCAGAGTTTGGGAGCCAAAGAGTCTGGTGCCTAGCGTTGGCTTTAGAAGGCCCTACTTAAGGCTTTCTGGGGAGGATGTACACTTTGAGTTATATAGGGGGATTAGAGTATCCCAAAAGTGCAAGGTGTGCTCGCTCAGCTACTAAGAATTTGTTTCAGGCTTTAGGTTTCAGGCGCTTTCTGGGGCTCCGTGTTCGGAAGGTAGCCTCCATGATCTTCCCACCTGGACCACTTCTGCCTACCCGAGACCCCCCGTCCGAAATTCACCGTCATGAGAAAACAAACCCCGAAATTCCCCCCCGGACCCCAAACCCTAAACCATGTAGCCCCTAAAAACCCGAAACCCTGAACTCCTGAAACCCCGAAATTGCGCGAAACTCCCAAACCCAAAGCCCCAAACCCTGAGTCCCAGAACTCGCAACCCTGAAATCCCCCCTCCGCCCCCTTCGCAAAAAAAACAATTAATAATATCAACCCAAAACCCCAAAACCCCAAAACCCCCAAACCCCAAAAACCCCAAAAAGCCCAAAACCCCCAAAACCCAAAACCCCCAAAACCCCCAAAACCCCCAAAAGCCCCAAAACCCCCAAAACCCCCCAAAACCCCCAAAACGCCAAACCCCCCAAATCCCCAAAACCCCCCCAAATCCCCAAAACCCCCCCCAAATCCCCAAACCCCCCAAACCCCAAAACCCCCAAACCCCCAAAACCCCGAAAACCCCCAAAACCCCCAAAACCCCAAACCCCAAAACCCCAAAACCCCAGCACCCCAAAACCCCCCAAAACCCCCCCAAAAAAACCCCAAAACCCCCCCAAAAAACCCCAAAACCCTAAAACCCCAAAACCCCCAAAACCCCCAAAACCCCCAAAACCCCCAAACCCCCAAAACCCCCAAAACCCCAAACCCTAAACCCTTTGAAGTGGCGCCGGCCCTACCAGGCCGCGGCTTTCGCGGCCCGATCCAGGTCCTCAGCCCCAAAGTTGAGTTTAGGGTTTGGGGTTTCGGGTTTAGGGTTTGGGGTTTCGGGTGTGGGGTTTAGGGCTTAGGGTTTAGGATTTAGGGTTTGGGGTTTAGGGTTTGCGGTGTGGGGTTTGGGGTTTACGGTTTACGGTTTTAGGGTTTAGGACCCAAAGTTAAGTTTAGGGTTTGTTGATGGGAGCCTGGAAGAAACACCCAAAAGCCGGAGTCCGAAGATGTGTTCGCTGACAAAGCGCCTTCTGATTCAGAGCTGGGGCGGAGTTCCACTTTGGATGTTGGATGCTGCGGTTCGGGCATAGGCCCAGGGTTCGGGTTTCGGGTTTCGAGTTTAAGGTTTAGCCACCATGGCCGCTTTTTTTGGAATACTAAACCTTACCCTAAACCCTAAACCCTATCCCTAAACCTTCAACCACAAGAAGCACATGTGTGGGCTGAAGAGCTCGATGAATGCAATGGATGATCGTTGATGTGAGCTCTCTGGCCTCTTCTTGTGTGCCGGGCTAGGATACAGGGTTTAGGGTTTAGGGTTTAGGGTTTAGGGTTTAGGGTTTAGGGTTTATAGGGTTTATAGGGTTTAGGGTGCGAGGATTCCTTGTACATTCCAATCGATCTGTGTCCCGTTGTAGGGCCCTGCTCCAATGTGCTATCAAGGTCAGCTGAGGACGACGCCTGGTCATTAGCACAAGGGCCTGGGCTGCTGTGGACAAGACTCCGGCAAGTCCTGAACCCGTCAGCCCTTTAAAGCAACTTTGCAGAAGGAAGTCTCTGTCTTGGGTTATACTTCCATGGGGTGAAGAGCTCGACTTTCCTACACGCAAGCCTCATGCCTTGAGGTTTAGGGTCGAGGGATTGGGGGCCTGAAGCTCCAAACTCTAAAGCGCAAGAAGCCAGAGCCAGGACCTCAAATGGTTGAATCCTTATACGCCATGTAAATCAAGGGACCCTCAAAAAGCAGCCCAGTAAGCACGTCTTTCCGCATGGATGAACAGGGCCAGTTTAGGGTTTCGCGCTTATGGTTCGGGGATTCGGGCTTAGGGTTTGCCCCCCCCCCCCCCCCGCCCCAATATGAGTGAAAGGATGCCAGCAAACATGTTGGGGAGCCAACTCGCGCCCGTGACAGCCGCAGCATCGCCAGAGCAGTCCTGGTATGAGGGGTTTAGGGTTTCGGGTTTAGGGTTCAGGGTTTAGGGTTCAGGGTTTAGGGTTTCGGGTTTAGGGCTGCCACGGCTTCCCCCGACTTCTGTAAACCGGCAGCATGCACTTCCCAGCGCTCCTCCTGGAGATCGTTCGGCTCATCCTAAGCTTTCAGACATGTGGCCCCGAAACCCTAAACCCTAAACCCTCAACTTGTGGGCTGGAGGATGTCTAGTTTTGAAGGTTGCGCACATCATGAGCAAACCCTTCTGTGCACTTGCACACGGGGCAGTTTCGGGTTTGGGGTTTAGAGTTTAGGGTTTACGGTTAAATCTAGTCGCCTTTCTTTTTTTGGGGGGGGAGGGGGGGGGGGGGGAGGAGGGGGGGGGAGGAGGGGGTTCCGCCTGATACGTTGTTCCGTATTCTCACAGGAACCCCCAAAAAAAATCATGTTGTGGAGAACTGTCCATATGCAAGAAACACGAAATCCCTAAACCCTAATCCCCAATCCCGTTGCGCATTGGGCCCCCTGGCCCGCGCGTACTCCGCCGCAGTCTGCGGGCGGGCGAGATTGCGCAGGAGCGTCCTGGTCAGGGGCTTGCTCAAAAAAAACCCACAGTCCCTTTTGGGGTTTAGGGTATGGGGTTAGGGTTCAGGGTTTGACCTCTTTGAAGGAATCGCAAAACATGTACACAAGGACTAATTCATTCAAAAAAACCCCAGTAGAACTGTGTTATCCCATTGGCAGGCGGAACGCAAGGTCACGATCTGAATATGGGGTACTTGGCATCATAGGAACCTCACAGGAACCTCACCAAAGGGCACCCCCTGGAAGCCCCCCCATATGCACCCTCTTTGGGTCAATATCAGCGTCTTCCCGATTGTCTATAACTTAGACCAACCTAAACCCTAAACCCTCAACCCCAACCCCTAAACCCTATATAACCCTAAACCAACCCTAATCTCTAAACCCTAAACCCTAAACCCTAAACCCTAAACGTGGTTCACGGGTAGCCTGTAGGCGTAGAGAAGCAGCCGGATGGAGCCGGCCCCACGATTCCCAGCCATCTCCTGCGCCTCGTCCGTGCAGGGCGTGAATATATATATATATATATGTATATATATATATATACATACGTAACATATGGTTCATGTGGTATAACGTTTCGCATTGTAGCCGGATTCCCATATGAGGTCAACATCTAGACCCAAGAGTAACCTAGGAATAAAAAAAGTGCCCTTCTTTGGTTTGCAGAGGCGTATAAGGGAACCTAAAACCCAAAAAGTGGAATAAGGGCCTACTCTGGGTTCTAGCCCTAAACCCTAAACCCCAAACCCCAAACGCCAAACCCTAAACCCTAGACCCTAGACTAGCCCTAGACAAGATCCTCCCCCCGCGTGCGTGCACGGAGGCGCCGGGGCTCCAGCCAAAGTCGTCAGCTCGGAGAGCACCCACCTAGGGGCGGCCCATGTGAAAGCTTCCTAGAACAAGGTTTAGGGTTAAGTTTAGTGTTTAGAATTTAGAGTTTAGGGTTTAGGGTACCCCTTAATGTACCCCCAAGCGATACAAAATGCAGCCATCCTTGTTGTAGGAATCGCATCCCCCCCCAAAAGAAGAAGGGTGCTTACTTAGGATTCACTTAGGATTCCAGGTGTGCGATCCTCTCTGTCTTTGCTCTCGGCGAACCGCGCCCTCTCTCTATGCACACACTAAACGCTCTGCACTCAAGGCTTAGGAAGCCGAGGGGGCTCGCCCACGATGGGCCCCTTCTGCTGGGACCCTTTGCTGGTACCCGGACCCTGAAGCCCGGACCCCTCAAAGCTCTGAGAACCCCAAAATCTGGCAAATCCTGGGGTCATTTCTGCCTGAAAAGCCCTCTCAACCCCGGGATGGGGGAAGCATTTTGGAAGCAGCTTCGCCCTCTCGCACAAACCGAACCCCAAACCCCAACTCCTAAACCCGAAGACCCTGCTGCAGCTCGGAAAGGCACCCCCAGAAAGAGTTGGCTTCGGAGTCGCTGGGGCTGCCTGACTGCGCAGAGGCTCGGTGTTCAGCAACATTAGGGGCTGATGGGGTTTAGGGTTTAGGGTTTAGGGTTTAGGGTTTAGGGTTTAGGGTTTAGGGTTTAGGGTTTAGGATAAGCATCTACGGCCCCTTCCAGATAACAGATGGCTGGCCCACCAAGCTCTGTGGAAGATGAAGGAAGTGTGACAGTCACTATCGTGGGTTCCCCTACTACCCCCCTCTAAACCCTAAACCCTAAACCCTAAACCCTAAACCCTAAACCCTAAACCCTAAACCCCAAACCCTACGTCCCCCCCGTAACAAAGGCTATTCGGGGATAATTAAGGCGAACTAAGGCTCTTTAAGGGGGGAAACCTAGGGAGGGCAGTACAGAGGGGGGCTAGTAGGGAAACCCATGGCACTGGCCAACTCCAGTTTAACAAGTACAATTTGTTTGTATCTTGGATATTTTAAGGTTGGACCCTTGATGTTCAGTGTTGGGGGAACACCCTAAACCCTAAACCCTAAACCCTAAACCCTAAACCCTAAACCCTAAACCCTAAACCCTAAACCCTAAACCCTAAACCCTAAACCCTAAACCCTGAACCCTGAACCCTGAACCCTGAACCCTGAACCCTGAACCCTGAACCCTGAACCTTTTTTGAAGATCCTTAAGGTAGTATAAGAGACATGATAGGAGTACATAAAGGGGAACCTTTCGGGGGTACAACCTTAGTTGTAAGAGTCTGAATCCCTTGAGAACCCCGAGCGTGCAACCGGCATGTCATCATGGATTTCCACCTGCACCCTCCTCACCCGCCGCGTCTCCGTCGTGAAGCTGCGGATGGGCAAGAAGCCAAACCTGAAGGGTTTAGGGTTTAGGGTTTAGGGTCTAGGGTCTAGGGTTTAGGGTTTAGGGTTAGGGTTTAGGTTTAGGGCTCTTTCACGAGCTTGGGCCTTTCCAGTTTGACCTTGGCAACCCTGAGCAAAAAACCCTATTGGGGGCTCCAGCGACGACAACAAATCATCCCGAGTCCCAACGGTTTTAGCACCCTAAACCCATTTCGCTAAACCCTAAATAAACCCTAAACGCTCAGCACCCTAAGCCCTAAACCCCAAACCCTAAACCCTAAACCCTGCACCCAATCATTGTCGATAGCACGCTGGGTATGGCTCATGGGCGCATGCCAGGGGCCACGACTAGTCCTCTCCGCCAAACCAGGAGCTGCACCGTCTCCACCTCACAGAAGCTTTTAGGGGTCAAACGGTTTAGGGCTTAGGGTTTCACCCTAGACCCTATACCCTAAACCTAATCCTAAACGCTAAACTCTGAAACCAGTTTCAAAAGATTTGCCATGGAACCTCACCCTTAAAAAAAGGAAGTAAGTGCCCCGTCTGGTGGGACAGATGTGACAAATAGGAGGTTTCTTGTCAAGTTGGGTTCCTGCTATATACAACTCTTTCGGCTGCCTAAGCCCAAACCCTAAAGAAGAGCCCCTTGTTTCAAAACTGTCAGAACTTAAGTGCTTACGTTTGAGTGTGGTTGGCTGACATCTGTAGCGTCGTCATGAGCTTCGAACTTGGGAGTTCAAGCGGGGAATGAGATTCAGAATATTTTTTCAGAAACATGTAGATGACCATGTAGAGGATGAATTGGTGCCGTTGCCGCCGGTAGAAATCATACTTAGAGCAGGCGCAATAGGATTCCCTTATAAGTAGGACCCCATCAAGGCACCCCCCCATTTTCGGACACCCCCCAGATGTTGCCTGGATCCAGCCGTTTACCAACAGCCAAGTCAACCGGAGCAGTGTAAACAAGGTGTTGGACTAGGAGTCTTGGAGGGTAAGAGTCCCATCCAAAACCCAAACCCTAAACCCCAAAACCCTAAACCCCAAACCCTAAACCCTAAACCCCAAAACCCTAAACCCTAAACCCCAAACCCTAAACCCTAAACCCCTAAACCCATGTTGGTTCAGCGTGCTCCATGGGTGTGGTGCTGCCAGCAGTGTTGACTATACGAGCAACAACACACAAGCATCAACGATCGAAGGACACATACCAGCTTGAATCAGAGAGCAGTCTAAATAGGGCTAATCATGATGCCATTATAAGCAATAGTGAGGCAAGTGACGGCGATGTCAATGACAGTACAAAATGCAAATGGCAAAACACAGAAAAAGGCGGGTGATAAAGGATAAAACAAGTGTAAAAATACCAGGGGCCCTTGTTGAATCCCTAAACCCTAAACCCTACACCCTAAGCTCGGTTGTAGGGCCCTTACAGGAAGCAGGGTTAGACAAGTGAGGGTAGCTGGGGAGTCCTACCTGGGGTCCGAAGGGCGTTTCGGGTTGTCAGGGTTTAGGGTTTAGGGTTTAGGGTTTAGGGTTTAGGGTTGAGGGTTGAAGGTTGAGGGCTTAGGGTTTAGCACCCTGGCCTCCTTGTCCTTGGCACTGGGCCACAGCGCCCTGGAGGAGGTGGGAGCGGCGCGCAACCTGGGAGCTTCGGATGCTGAGATAGTCGTATGCAGTTTTGGGATTTAGGGTTTATAGGGTTAAGGGTTCAGGGTTAAGGGTCAAGGGTTAAGGATAAAGGATAAGGGTTTAGGGTTTAGGGTTTAGGCAGGAGTTGACCTTCTCCCGGCCCCTCCCTCACCAAATCCCAAAGCCTTAAAGCCCCACACACCCCCATACCCATCAACTGATTCTAGGGTTCTTCAGGGAGGGGGTTCATGGGGGGTAGGTACCGGGGAGGATTAGGGAACCTTAGGTTACATACCCCCCTTGAACCCCCCTTAGAACCCTATAAACTGAGGATCTTGCAGTAGTTGCAGCAGCGCCCGCCACAGGTCAGGGAGGCATAGGCTTCGATGGCTGGAAGTCTGCGAAGATCACAACCACGAATCGCAAGGCTTCGGGTCTGTAGGGTGTATGCCTAAACCTGCCTTAGGATGCTGCCAAAAATCACGGCTTGCACAGAGCAACTGGGGTTCCGAGCTTCAAGGCTTGGGGATAGCTGGGCCTCAGGGTTCCTAGCTACTTGAAGGTTCATGGTACTTAGTAACCAACTATAACTGTACTTCTAACTGTACTTATAACTGCACTTATAGCCAGATTAGGGCACTTAAGGGGCTTATAAGTAGGTTATAAGTACAGATATAATCAGTGAATAAGTACCATGAACCTCCAAGTAGGGGTTGGGCTGGACTTTCAAGAACATGGCGGTGCTGGCACGTCGGCACGCCCTTCATGTCCCTGCTGCCTCGATCACGAAGTTCCGAACGGCCTTTTCCAAGGAGGCAGGGGCTCTTGATCTAGAGGGCATGCCATGGTAAACCCGAAACCCTAAACCCCGTGCAGACGACAGGGGCGATGCACCACGCTGACGTTGCAAGAAAGCATGTGCGGACAGCGGCAACAACGATAGCAAAACAGCACGGACATGATAGCAACAGTCATTATAAGGAGGGTAAGAACCATAATCAGCATGCGACAAAGCATAATCGCAAGTAAACCCTAAACCCGAAACCCTGAACCCTAAACCCTAAACCCTAAACCCTAAACCCCCCCAAACCCTAAACCCTAAACCCTACCATCTGACGAGGAAACGGGCGGGGGAGGGGATCTACTCTGGGGCCCTTTATAATTGGAATAGGATTTTTTTTTTTTTTTTTGGGGGGGGGGGGGGGTATTGTAGTAAAACTACAAAATAACCATAAGGGAATACTACAAGTGATTCACCCTAAACCCTAAAGCCCAAACCCTAAACCCTAAACCCTAAACCTAAACCCTAAACCAGTTTGGGCGTCCCTGGCCTCCACGCAGAGCCGAGCGCTGGGCACCAGGAGCTGGGGCTCAGCGTCGCTGCGCGCCAGGAGTGCCTCCAGGGTCTGTAAGGTTTAGGGTTTAGGGTTTAGGGTTCAGGGTTCAGGGTTCAGGGCTCAGGGCTCAGGGTTTAGGGTTTAGGGTTTAGGGGTTAGGATTGGGGAGTGCTTGTCGTGTCGTCATTCAGGGGCCAGGAAACTGTAGGAGGGCTTCGGCGGGCTGAGGTGGCTTGGGCTCAGGATCTCCGCCCTAAACCCTAAACCCTAAACCCGAAACCCGGAACCCTGAACCTTGGGACGTTCCCCCCTTATACTAACAGTCCTTAATGGTGATTATAATAGGGGGTGCTATCATCCCCATTAAGACCTGTTAGTATAAGGGGTAACATCCCAACCCGGAACCCTGAACTCTAAATTATATAGGGGACGGAGCAATTACGAATAAATTCTCTATGGCCCCTATATAAATATACGAGAATATCCGCCAAGATCCTATTCAACTATTATTAAGGCCCCCATAGTAGCCTTTTTCATGATCCGTCTTTAGGCACTCCCCCCGTGCTCTCGAAATGGAACCGGAAACCCTCTAAACCGAAACCCGCTAAGGCCTCTAAACTCCAAACGCCACAAGCCCAATTAGTCCTATGCGCCCAATAAACCCTCCAATTTCAGCCCTACAAGCCCCAAGAAGCCCTACCCTCGACCCTGAAACCTAAAGCCTAAATCCTAAACCCTAAATTCTAAACACCAAACCCTAAACCCTAATTAAGCTCCTCGATCAGCCGAACGGGCCAGCCAGCGGAGACCACCGGACCTTTCGGGGTTTCCGGGGCTTCGGGTTTCAGGGCAGTTTAGGGTTTAGGGTTTAGGGGATCCTGCTTTCCCCCCCCCCCGTCCCCCCTCCAGCGCCCGGGATTGAGTTCGGGTGAGGGGGGTCAGAGGGGGGAGGGGGGGGGGGGGGGGGGCGGGAGTTCCCGACATTGGACTTGCGATGCTAAACCTTAAGCCCCAAACCCTAAACCCTAAACTGGCCCTAAACCCTACACCCTACACCCTACACCCTAAACCCTAAACCCTAAACCCTAAACCCTAAACCTAAACCCTAAACCCTAAACCCTAAACCCTAGACCCTAAACCCTAAACCCTAAACCCTAAACCCTAAACCTCTGCCGGGCTGTTGCTCCCAGAGTCGGCGCCTCCATCAGCTGTCAAGGTCAAGAAGGTTGCACCCACCTGGGGGTTTCCGAAACTAGGGGTGGTTTAGGGTTTAGGGTTTAGGGTTTGGGGTTTGGGGTTTAGGGTTTAGGGTTTAGGGTTTAGGGTGAAACTGCCTGGAAGATGGCTGCAATGGTCAGTTTCAGCGTGCGCTCGCTGAGATCTCGCCGTCGGATCGTGTGGTACAGTCCGACCTGGGTTTTATGGGTTAGTGTGTATAGTGTTTAGGGTTTAGGGGCTGAGAGGTTACGGGTTTAAGAGTTTAGGGAGGATGCTTCCGCCGTGTGGATCTTGCTGTCGGGACGGCTTTTGGTGTTTAGGTGTTTAGGGTTTGCTTTAAGCACTTTTCGTTCAGATGTTTAGAAGCCTCAGGAGTTGAAGTACGAAAGAGGTGTGTGTGTGTGTGTGTTTCTTGCTTGACCTTCAGCCTACTGGGCATGCTTGCCAAACATATGGCAACTTACCACACCTGTTGCACACCGGATGCACCTACACCGCGTCCACGCGAAGCGCCAAGATGTGCTGCCCTAAACCCTAAACCCTAAACCCTAAACCCTCAACCCTAAACCCTAAACCCTGAACCAGCTGAGCTCCGGACATGCGTGCAGATGCTCAGCTCCTGCACGGCTGGGACCTCCATCAGCCTTAAGTGACACACATCCTGGGGGTTTAGGGTTTAGGGTTTAGGGTTTGGGGTTTAGGGTTTAGGGTTTAGGGCTTAGGGCTTGGGGTTGGGGATTGGGATTTTATGTGCGCATCTTTGCGCGCCGACACACGGCAAATTAACCCATGGGTAGACTCAACATCCAACACATGATGTCTCCAAAATATAAGTCCCTTCACATAGACCCCCCCCCCTCCCCCAAACAAAAGTGCTCTAAGCCTCAAACCCAACCCTATACCCTAAACCCTAAATCCCAAACCCCAAACCCTAACCCCAAATTTTCGTGAGCCCGATATCTAATTGGCCGAGTGCCGGGCTTTTGACTAGCCTCCTGCTGCCCCACCGTGGCCAGTAGCAGCCTGGCCGCAAAATTCCTAAACTCGCGCAGGGTTTAGGGTTTAGGGTTTAGGGTTTAGGGTTTAGGGTTTAGGGTTTAGGGTTTAGGGTTTAGGGTTTAGGGTTTGGGGTTTAGGGTTTGGGGTTCAGAGCCTAGAGGTTAGGGTTTAGGGTTTAGGGTTGAGGATTTATGGTTTGGGGTTTGGGGCTTTAGGGTTGAGACCCTGAGCCCTAAGCCCTACACGCCCATCGATACTGCCTGCCTGAGCCCTCAGAAGGTTCGGAGCTCTTGAGCCCTTAACTTAGTGGCTCTTGGGAAAGGAAACGAGGGATTTCAGGAAATTGATACAAAACACACACAGAAACGCGTTCAAGCATTTGAAGGATTCCTAGGGGAACCTGACGACCGACTTCCTCAGAAAGAGCCCTAAACCCTAAACCCTAACCTCTAGACTCTGAACCCCAAACCCCTAAACCCTAAACCCCAAACCCCAAACCCCCAAACCCCCAAACCGAGATGCGGCTTCCGCCTCAAGGCAACCTTGAGGGTGTCGTAGCCGTCGAGGACATTCAGGGAGAGAGAGCGGCGCGGAAGCAGTAGGGCTTGTGGAGCCTGGACCGGCTTGGGGTTTAGGGTTTAGGGTTTAGGGTTTAGGGTTTAGGGTTTAGGGTTTAGGGTTTAGGGTTTAGGGTTTAGGGTTTAGGGTTTAGGGTTTAGGGTTTAGGGTTTAGGGTTTAGTGTTTAAGGTTTAGGGTTTAGGGTTTAGGGTTTAGGGTTTAGGGTTTAGGGTTTAGGGTTTAGGGTTTAGGGTTTAGGGTTTAGGGTTTTAGGGTTTTAGGGTTTTAGGGTTTTAGGGTTTGGGGTTTGGAGTTTAGGGTAATAGTCTCTTGGGTTTAGGGCACACTTCGACAGCTGGACAAGCCCATCTCGTTATATCTGGGCTATCTGCGGAAGCCCTCCTGCAGCAATGAGATTCTTCGGATATCAAGGGGCCGCCAAGGCACCCACTAAGACCTAAACCCTCCAAAAGTCCGAAAGTCTGTAGGCTCTGAAGCGTTACTGGCTGAATTGCCTATGGGAAACATGCCCTTAGGTTTTTGAAGAGGCTTAGAGTGCCCAACGAAAGGTTCTCAAGACAACCAACTCCCTACCCTAAACCCCAAAAGCGCCAAAACCCCCCCATCCACCCCAAAACCCCAAACCCTAAACCCTAAACTCGAATTAACCCCTAAACCCTAATGAACCCCTAAACCCTAAATACTAAACCCTAAACCCGAAACCGCACCACCTTTGGACACCCCTATTGAGACCCCGGCAGCAATGTTGGGCATGGAGGGCGGCTCTGCCCATACAGGGAGGTCCTGGTCCTTTCCTGCGTTGGGGCGAAGGTCTTCGGAAATCCAGTCAAGGGTTGAGGGTTTAGGGCAAATCTAGTTCATGGTTGGGATAATATTAGCAATCTAAAGTTATATTCCTTATTGGGTTTAGGTACCCTTAAGAATGTAACATGGTACCCAACTATGACAAAGAAATGGTGGTGTCCGAACGACATCCCTGCCACGGCCTGGCACGACTCAACTCCTACTTCGCGCTGCGAAGCATTGCAGCTGAGAGTAAAGCGCCGAAAAGACCCAAAACCCAAAAGCCCCCGACCAAAAATCATGTGCCCATTTTTGGTACCCCAAAGCTTAGACTGATAAGAAGAAGAATAGAGACCTATCCCAAGCCCTAAACCCTTAATCGCAAGGAATGTACAAACGACACCCAAAGAGGATAGCACCCTGAACCTTTAAACCCTTATGAACCTCCGAACCCCAAACCCTTAGATCCTTAAGCCCTCAAAACCCTAAACCCCTTCAACCCTTAAAGCCCTAAATCCTGAAGCCTTTATCCCCCTCAACCCTTCAACCCTTCAACCCTTCAACCCTTCAACCCTTCAACCCTTCAACCCTTAAACCCTTAAACCCTTAAACCCTTAAAACCCTTAAACCCTCAATCCCCTAAACCCTAAACCCTAAACCCTAAACCCTAAACCCTAAACCCTAAACCCTAAACCCTAAACCCTAAACCCTAAACCCTAAACCCTAAACCCTGAAGCCAGCATGGTTCTGGCCTGACTTTGCTGCGCTGGACACGCCGCTTCGCAGCGCTAGGAAGAGGGCGGAGAGGTAGCTGAGGAAGAGCCTGGCTTCACGTGTGGATTAGGGTTTAGGGTTTAGGGTTTAGGGTTTAGGGTTTAGGGTTTAGGGTTTAGGGCTTAGGGCTTAGGGCTTAGGGCTTAGGATTACTTGTTAAGGGGTCAAGGGTCCTCTTTGGGGGGGTCCCTCCTGCATGCTATCAGAGGCAAACAAAAAGAACCGGAACTTGGAGGTAACCCAATGTGGGCTCTAGCAACGCACTGTTGGCACTCCTAGAGCAGCAGCAGCACCTACAGCTCCTGAGTTCGCCAACCTGACTAGCTTATCAGGCTTCGGCGTTCAGTGCCCGCCCTAAACCCTAAACTTCAAGATGCTAAAGCCCTAAGCCCCAGAAGCTTGCTCCGGGTTCCTCTAGATTCTAAACCCTAAACCCTAAACCCTGAACCCTAAACCCTAAACCCTAAACCCTAAAGCCTAAACCCTAAACCCTAAACCCTAAACACTCCGCCTCCCATAAGCAGGGCAGGCGGGCTGTGCAGTGGCCGACGAAGCCTGAAGGCTTCGAGGGGCTGAAGCGCCCCATACTCCCCTTAGGGTTTAGGGTTTAGGGCTTAGGGTTTAGGGTTTAGGGTTTATAGAGCCTTAGTCAATCTTGGTTGCTCTTTAACCCCCCAGTAAGAGTTTAACTTTTGGCTCCCTTAATATGACATTAGAGGAACCCGAAACTTATAAAGTGATAAAGTTGTAGTAAAGTCCCACCTAGAAATATGCTATTCTAAATATGTGTTTAGGCTTCAGGAGTTTAGGGCCCTAAACCCTGAACTCGAAAGCCCCTGTGACATTCTGGGGTTTCGGGGGCACAGCAGGGCAGCAGCCGCGCCTGAAAGCCATCATCACCTGCCAGAGCAGGGCACTCCGAGGGCAGCATGGGCAAACCATTTCGGCTCTAGGGTTGATAGGGTTTGTAGGGTTCGTAGGGTTTGACGGTTACAAGGGTTTCGAGGGTTTATAGGGCTTATGAGGGTTTGTAGGGCTGATATGGGTTCATAGGGTTTAGAGGGTTCACAATTCACAGGGTTTCGAGGGTTTAGAGGGCGTAGAGCGTTTAGAGGGTTTTTAGAGTCGAGGATTTGGAGGGCTTTAGGTCTTATAGGGTTTACAGGTTCTACAGGGTGTCGAGGCTTTGTAGGGTTTATAGGGTTTAGGGGAGAGCACGACAGTCGTTTCAGATCACAAGCCCTCAACTCTTCTATTGGCGTTTGATCGAACATCTGGCTCCTTTCGGTAGCCAGAAAGAATATACTTCAAGTTTAGCATTATTGCTCCACCCCGACTAAACTTTTTGATATTTTAGACCCTGAATTCGGGAATTCAGTGCCCCCCCCCCCCCCCCCCCCCGAAAAAACTACCCTTGAGGGGATTATATAGGGTACCTAAATCCTAAACCACCCTAAGCCCGGCACGTCATTCCCCAGAAACTGAAGAAAATTCGGGTCCGTGTGCCCCTGCATAACAGCATCAGGGACGCCCTAATTTTGGGAAACCAACCGACCCTAAAGCCTCTAAACCCTAAACCCTACATGAAGTAGGGTATATATTTCTTGTACCCCCAAAAGGACACCAGGTATATACACTCACCAAGATTAGACAGGAACCTTATAGACACTCACCAATAACAGCAATATGAACCCTGTTTCACATCAACAGCGAACTCCCGACACCGCGGCCTACACCAGCATGCTCGCTCCCTCCCGCACCAGCCTCAGCTGGGGGTTTGGGGCTTGACCAAAAAACCCCTAAAGCCTTTAAACCTTGAACTTTGAACCCTAAGCCCTCTCTGGCAGGTGAAGCTTTGTAGGGTTAGCGGCGTGGTTATGGGTTTAGGGGTTAGGGTCGATAAGGCTTAGCGTGTGGGGTTGTAGGGTTTGGGGTCGTCGGGGGTTGTGGGTTGGCTAGAGCCCTTATAGGGGCTAGGGCTTAGCAGTTTCAGCTTCTTTGACGGAAGGGCGGGGGGAATGAAATGAAGGGCTGAAGGCTGCATTTGGTGAGGGCTGCGCTATGTCTGCAAGCCCACATCCGACACCCTCAAGCTTTCAAATCCCCTAAGCCCTAAGCCCTAAACCCTGAATACCCCCCCCCCCCCCCCAAGAAAACCCTGCACACGAGGCCCACACTTGGCCAGTAACCTCAACCCCAGAATGTGAGGCCTGACCCCCAAACACCCGAGTCCACTCAGCACGGGGCATCACCCCCTCCTCCAGAATCCTGCCTCAGGGATAGGGTTTTGGGGTTTAGGGTTTAGGGTTTTCAGAATCCTGCCTCAGGGATAGGGTTTTGGGGTTTTAGGGTTTAGGGCTTTCGGGGTTGAGGGGTTGAGGGGTTTAGGGGTGTAGAGCTCTAGGGGTTTAGGGGCTTCGGAATTTCATGTTCAGGGTTTAGGCCCAAGGGGGCTCCCTGTCCTGGGTTCCTATCTACTGGTAAGTAATTATACCTTTCACCTCCCGGTTTATCCTTACCGGGGTTCGACGGCGAAGGGGGGTTAAAGGGTAGTCTACATTTGGTACAGGGTTCAGGGTTCAGGGTTTTAGGGTTTGAGGTTTTAGGATTTTGGGGTTCAGGGTTTAGGGGTTTAGGGGTTTAGGGGTTTAGGGGTTTAGGGGTTTAGGGGTTTAGGGGTTTAGGGGTTTAGGGGTTTAGGGGTTTAGGGGTTTAGGGGTTTAGGGGTTTAGGGGTTTAGGGGTTTAGGGGTTTAGGTGTTTAGGGGTTTAGGGGTTTAGGGGTTTAGGGGTTTAGGGGTTTAGGGGTTTAGGGGTTTAGGGGTTTAGGGGTTTAGGGTTTAGGGGTTTAGGGTTTAGGGGTTTAGGGTTTGGGGTTTAGGGTTTAGGGTTTAGGGTCGAGGGTTTAGGGTTTAGGGCTTGGTTGGGGCTTGATGGGTTGACTCGCGTGCTTGTTTGCCCTCCCGCCTTGGGGATGGAATGGATGCCTGACTCGCCTCGCGTGCAAGTGCCGGTTTAGGGTTTAGGGTTTAGGGTTTAGGGTTTAGGGTTTAGGGTTTAGGGTTTAGGGTTTAGGGTTTAGGGTTTAGGGTTTAGGGTTTGGGGGAGTTCTAGTCTGTCCTTCAGAAGCCCTCGTCATGCATGGGGCGCTTTTGAGGGGAGGGTAGAAATCACATAACCGATATTCTAGCAACTTGAACGAAGGTATGTCGCAAAAGCCTACCTTCTAGCAACATAGGGGACGTAATAATTACCAATGAAATTCCCTTATGGCCACTGTACATTTCTGCTACAATGCCCGCCCAAACCCTGTTCTAATTACTAAGGCTCCCATAGTAGGGTCTAGGGCCGCATGTTTGTTGCCACCCAAGCTTTGCCTGACCTGCGCGATGCCTCTGGCGCGCTGTCTTTTTACCGACGCGTCCCAGGCAGCGAGCCGCCGCTCAGGTTCGACCCTAAACCCTAAACCCTAAACCCTAAACCCTAAACCCTAAACCATAAGCCCTCTTGGAAAACAGGAGTCTGATCGGGCGTGGCTACTCATCGAGACTCAGTGCTCATCGTCCTCACATGGCCATGTTCAACAATTAAGGGCCTGCTGTCTGGCATATATGATCATATCGATTTTGTTTCTGTATGGTTTAGGGTTTAGGGTTTTGGGTTTTGGGTTTTGGGTTTAGGGTTTAGGGTTTTAGGGTTTAGGGTTTAGGGTGTTCTATATCATGGTCTGATTATATGATTATACTGTACGATTCTGCCATTAAAATTCTGTATTAGATTATTGGAATACAGTACGACCGTTACAATATCACGGTCTTATTGTGTGTGCCTGCCTGGACACTCGAATTCTGAAGGGCACAAACATGTTGCGGAGCTGGATGGGCTATGGCCGTTCCAGCAAGGGCCTCGGGTTGCAAGACCCCAAGACCGAGCATGTGCATCTCTAAACCCTATGAACCCTACAAGCCCTGAACCCTAAACCCTAAACCCTGCTTCACAAGCCCCCGAAACTTCCCCTTGCGCAGTGCAAGTCCTCGGGCAAGGGGGAAAGGTTGATCATGCTGGCCATCAGGCCATCTCTCCGGTAGTTCACCCAGTAAGCAGAGCTGCCCTTGTTGCCAATGGCCTGGCAACGTCTCACGGTACTCGGCTTTGGGGGATTTGAGCTGAGGGTTTAGAGGGTCGCGAATTGCCCGGGCCGAGCACGGTCTGCTTTTCGCAGAAGGGACATCTTTGTCACGCATGCGGGATGCGGCCCGAGATCCGAATCCAGTGCAAGCTGAAGTTACTGAAGTTGCTGATGTTTCACGATGTCGTCGCTGGTTGGTTGAGCGAACCCGTCCAGAAAGCGTGCATACCGTTTCCTAAAACCCAAACCCTAAACTCCTAAACCCTAAAGTCCTAAACCCTAAACCCTAAGCCCACTCCTACACCTGCCTCAAGCATCGGAAGTCCAAGAGCATTCCAGAAGTGATACTGCATGCGCCGTGGTTCGAAGAGGGCCCGCACCCAACGATAGTTCCTCGAGCTGGTGTGGGTTTAGGGTTTAGGGTTTAGGGTTTAGGGTTTAGGGTTTAGGGTTTAGGGTTTAGGGTTTAGGGTTTAGGTTTAGGGTTTAGGGTTTAGGGTTTAGGGTTTAGGGTTTAGGGTTTAGGGTTTAGGGTTTAGGGTTTAGGGTTTAGGGTTTAGGGTATAGGGGTTAGGGTTAAGGTTTAGGGTTAGGGTTTAGGGTTAGGGTTAGGGTTTAGGGGGGGGGGGGGGGGGGGGCGGGGGCCTGGGGTAGGGGCGATAGATGTCTAAAGTCGATTGTGTCGTACATACAATATAAGCCGTGCAGAAAGTACACATCACACAGAACGCATATATATATATATGCATATATATATATATATAACATGTAATCCGCATCGATGCGTGTAATGCATAAAAGGTGCTTGTGATGCAGATAATGCATAGAATGCATAACATCCATATAGAACATAAAATACAGATGATGCATACAATTCACATATACTACAAATGATGCCATATCGCACATAGAATACATAAGCTGCAAGTAAAGTTGTAAGGACCCTTAGTTGGGTTCTTAGGATCCTTAACTACAGTTGGTGCAGCAAGGGGGCCCCTCCTTGTACTCTAGGATACTTGGAGCCCCCTAAACCCCCAACCCCAAACCCTAAACCCTAAACCCCAAACCCCAAACCCCAAACCCTAAACCCTAAACCCTAATCCTAAACCCTAATCCTAAACCCTAAACCCTAAACCCTAAACGGGAGCCCCTGGGCGACCGCTGGGAGCCGAGGATCCAAACGGTGTAGAGCCCCACGTTGTAGTCGTTGAAGGCGTCGGAATTCGTTTCCTTGAGGTCCTGGCCGTCCCAACCTGATACTTTCGGCGCGGGTTTAGGGTTTAGGGTTTAGGGTTTAGGGTTTAGGGTTTAGGGTTTAGGGTTTAGGGTGCTTTTACTGCATTTTTCAGCATGGCCAGGTGGGGAATTCAACCCGGGCTTTGCTGGCCTTGCGTTGGACTGCGGCATCCCCGGAAACGACTCCCTAAAAACCCTGAACCCTAAACCTAAAACCCTAAAACCCTAAACCCGAAACCCTAAACCCCAAACCCCAAACCCGAAACCCCAAACCGCAACCAGGCTGCTCCAGCTCGACAGCACCGCGAAGGCGGAGACCAATAGGCCCATGGCCACGTTTTGCTGGCGATGCTGGCGAGAGACCCGGTTGAGCTCCCCAATGCCCACTTGCTCATTCTCCTTGCGGGTAGCGCTCTAGATTAAGGCCCCTTTCTGGGGGGGGGGGGGGGGGTTCCGTTTAGAAGGTGCCGTAGTATAGAGGGACCCAAGAAGCGACCCGAATTTAGGGACTACCCTTGTGCGCCGCTTAGCTGGGGCTGCGTGCTGGGTGTTGCCTTGCGGCGGGCGTTGTCGGAATGATCCGTCTCGAGTCTCCGGTGTACATCATTGTAAAGGTCCACTTGGCGGGAACACCATGGCCATGCCCCTGAACCCTAAACCCTAAACCCTAAACCCTAACCCTAAACCCTAAACCCTAAACCCTAAACCCTAAACCCTAAACCCTAAACTCAAGGGACGACTCTCGCGCATGCTAAGCGCATGGCATGCCAGACAGCCCAAGCGATGTTCAGGAAGTAGAACCACTTCACCTTCTTCACGTAATTCACTTTGACGTCTTCTCCGGCGCCATGCTTGACATCCTGAACAATCGAAGCTTGCTTCTATCCAGAGGAAATGTTGCGTGCCGGGGCTGTGGCCAGATGCGCCAAGTAGTTCTGGATCCTGCAAAGCGATGACGCACAGGAGCGCATCTCCCTTTATACGGATGTGCTCGGTACTTTCATCGGACGCCATGGACGTCGTAAGTCGCAGGCATTGGCAGGCCCACAAGAACGCCTGCAAGAGCTGACATTTTGAAAGCGGCAGCCCTGTGTCGAGATTGACGTGGATAGAGTTGCTGCGATGAGGCCTTACGCCTTACGCCTTCTTGCTGAAGGTATTGCCTCTTACCTGCAACCCGAAGTCCTAAACCCTAAACCCCTAGACCCTAAACCTTTGGTCAAGACCATGCTGGAGTATCAATTGTTTGTTTGGCTGCGGCTACGGGGGTGTTGAAATGGTCCTAAACCACACCGCAGCACCTTTGGTCCTGCCTTTAATCTGCGACTTTGCCACCGACTCGGGCGACAAATGCTCGCCCTCTTGCACCGGGGAGTGCTTGAGATGGTTCGCCTCAATCCGGAACGCGGACTCGTTCCAAGCCACAAGAAGTTCAAGGGAAGTTGCATGGTCCCGTAACTTTCATGTGGTCATATGGTCCCCTAACGTCCCCTACCTTCCTGAAAGGGTTCTGAGGGCCCTTGGGCTTTGTAGGGCCCATAAAGGACCCTGTGACTACCCTGAGAACAAATCAAAGAATTCTCCTTTGATCGGTACCTGAGTGCAATTTCCACGTACTCGAAGGGAGATCTACATTGGACATGTTGCTCTCGGCTTTTGCACACTGGGGCGGCCTGGAATCACTGGTCTTGAAGCCGAATGAACCCCAAAAAGCCGACTGAGACCCGAAGCAATGTGAAGTAGCGTGTTGTGTTGCTTGTATCCCCCAAGAAGGGCACCCGGTAGATACACTCACCAATACTTGTAAGGAACCCCAAGTACACTCACCAATAGCAGGAATACCGATCCTGCTTCATATGACAACAGAGACCCTAAACCCTAAACCCTAAACCCTAAACCCTAAACCCTAAACCCTAAACCCTAAACCCTAAACCCTAAACCCTAAACCCTAAACCCTAAACCCTAAACCCTAAACCCTAAACCCTAAACCCTAAACCCTAAACCCTAAACCCCACCTCTTCCAGCAGGTAGAGGAACGAGAGGTTGGGATCTTCGAGGCCTGCCTGCATTGTGGTTCAGGGCTTGGCGGGTTTTGAATTTGGGGTTTAGGGCTTAGGGTTTAGGGTTAAGGGTTAAGGGTTAAGGGTTTTGGGTTTAGGGTTTAGGGTTTAGGGTTTAGGGTTTAGGGCTTAGGGCTTAGGGCTTAGGGTTTGTAGAACTTGGCGTTCGAGGGTGCGCTTCCCTAAACCCCAAAACCCTAAACCCTTTAGGGTTCTGCCTGTGAGTATTGCAGGAATCGTGCTCGGCCCCTTGCTTTCCGGCCTCAGTGAGGGCCAGCAGGTCCAGCATCTCAGACACATCAGTGGTCTCCCACACCTCGACACCATTAGGGTTTAGGGTTTAGGGTTTAGGGTTTAGGGTTTAGGGTTTAGGGTTTAGGGTTTAGGGTTTAGGATTTAGGGTTTAGGGTTTAGGGCTGCGGATTTCACAATGGTTCCTAGCGACCCGTCATCTTGCAGCAGAAACACCCAGTCATCTTCGGCGCCTTGCTTGCAGGCTGGTGGGTAGTTGAAACCAGGGCTATCTGATCTGTACCTAAGCTAACCTTAGGGCTTAGGGTTTAGAACTTAG